AAGTTGGGACTGCGGGAATCACTTTGACGACGAGCATGAGCGACTTCGCCGGACGCGCCTTCTGCTAGCAAACATTCTTTGAACCAGTCAACTTGAAGGCATAGATCTTGAGTAGCTGACGTAGAGCAAATATATGCCGATAAAATGGCAATATATGCGGCGAACAAGTTTATGAACAAATGCTTTGCCTTTAATAATGAAAAGTCACAGTATATATAGTTTTGTAATTGCATCGCTGATTTAATAATACACTCTGCCGTATTACGGATGATAATTATACACATCCGAATCTCTACTCAGAACACGCTCTGTCCGTGGTACCTGCAGCTAGGGCGTGCACCTATGCGACTGTACGCTTATAATATAGGAGACGGCGGCTAGCTAGGACGGGGGAGCAAACTCCTACTTTATCCCCTCCCGTCTCCCCCGTTGCCCCCCTTGTTCCCGCACTCAGTCTGCTTCTTCTTGCCAGCGCCACTCAGCTGCGCCTTCTCGTCGCCTGTCATCAGCTCCCCACCGCCTCTCACCTCAGCAAGCTATATTATAGCAGTTTTCTGTTCATCGATTGCACGCTTGAAACGGTGGCTTCGCACATGCCGCTATTTCTCCCGCGAAAGAAATATTATTTTGCGAAACATTAAGCATTTAATAATGAAGAGACTTATCGAGCTAGTAGATTTACATGATAATATTCATCAGTAACCTCACTTAAGATGTAGGATAGAAGAACATTGCATGCAGATGCTCTGTTCATATACCAGCCCCTCCTTAATCCCTATACCTTCTGCTTTCCCATCTTCTTGTTATCCCAGTTAGGGTAACAATTTTTGTATCTCTGCCTCCCGAACGCGCTCCTGCTAAGAAATAATAAGGAGGCAGACGGTTATGTGTGGCAATGATGTTATAGGTTACCGATGACGCGAGCAAATGTACGGAGAGCTGTGCTCCCCGTGTCTGTTCCCGTCTCTCTCTCTCTCTCTCTTTCTCTCTCTCTCTCTCTCTCTTTCTCTCTCTCTCGTATTCTCTATTCTCTCTCTTCTCTCTCTCTTTTCTACTCTCTTTCTTTCTCTCTTCTCTACTCTCTCTCTCTCTCTCTCTCTCTCTCTCTCTCTCGCTCTCTCTCTCTCCCACCCCCTCTTCTCTCTCGTCTGCTCTCTGCGCCTCTCTGCCTCTCGCTCACTCTCTCCCCCTCTTTCTATCTCACTCTGTAGGCTCGCTTCCTCTTTGTTCTATGTGTTGCTCTCTTCCTCTTCATCTTCCTTCTCCCGCTTTCTGCTGTCGCCCGACAAGGAGGACAATTCTATTATATCTCTGCCGTACTTAATTGAACTAAGATTCTATTCTTCAACCGTGTGTTGGGGTAACGGCGTCGAATGCTACAAGTTACAGCGATGTGTAACTTAATTCAGAGTAGTAAATTATGAATACGCTACCTATTATGAATAGCGTGACTGTCTTAGATATATGTATATTATTATATTATACGAAGAGTAAGATTATACACCCATGGTTATATATGCGTTATAAATATCGTATAGGTATTACAGATAAGAGGTATTATTAGATGGTCAGTCTCGAACGTCGTGTAATTATTCAATTTATAAGTTTGTTAACACCCTCAAGTGGTGCCTATACCTTTCCGCCGGGAAACAGGCATCATCGAGAACAAATGATTGGCTCCCAACTTGGGACTCCCAAGCAGAAATAACACCTTGACATCGATTATCATATTAAAGCACAGCTAGCCGTTTATTATATGATTGAATTTTCGACACTTAATTTTTCGATTAATTTCGATTGAAAGGGGTCCAGCTTGTAGGCTACATCACTCATCTTTGGGGCGATCCCCTATGTATATGCCAAGAATCTTTTTCTTCTTTACCTTTTCTTGCAAATTGTCATGGGGGGGGGTGGACCCCCACCCCACCATCATTTGCAAGACATTTGCAAGATGTTTCTTTTTCTTTTTCTTCTTCTTTTTTTCCTTTTTCTTTTCTTTTTTCTTTTTTTTCTCTTTTTTCTTTTTTTCTTCTTCTTTCCTTTTTCTTGCCCAAATGATAGGGGGGCGACCGCCCTCCCCCTGCCCCCCTGTGTCCGCGCGCGCCCCTGTGACACACGCGTTTACTCGCCCATCCCCAACACGCCACGCACATGCCTTCACACGGTATTCCTACATGCGATGATTATGTCTTAACCGATAGAGTCTAAGTGCACTTCGCTCTGTCGTTTGACCTGTGAACGCATGAGAAGACTGCACGTTTCGCTATCACCACCACCACTCCGACACAGGTCGCCATCAGCTACGAGGTAAGACCGGGCCCTGTCGTTTGTTTACTTCTAGAAAAAGCTACACCTTATACTAACATATACTAGCGTTTCTGTAGCAGACTAGCTACACCTATACTAACTAATACTAGCCGTTTGGTAGCTAGCATATAGCCCTACATTCTATTACTAACCATCACTAGCGTTCTTGCTAGCCAAGCATAGGCTACACTATACTAACTAGTATACTAGGGTCACCGTTTGTAGCAAGGATAGCTACACCTATACTAACTATATACCAGCGTTCTGTAGCTAGATAGCTACATTATACTAACTATGCTAGCGCTTTTGTAAAGCTAGATAGCCTACATAATATTACTAACTATACTAGCGTTTGTAACAAGCATTATAGCTTACATTTTAACTAACTATACTAGCGTTTGTTAGCTAGCATAGCCCGTACATTTCTATACTAAACTATAACTAGCGGTTGTAGCTAGATAGCTACATCTATGATACTAAACTAGTATACTAGCGTTTGCTAACATAGATATACGCATACATCTATACTAACTATACTAGCTTTTGCTAGCTAGAAAGCTACACCCTATACTCAAACTATATTATTAGCGTTTGTAGCTAGATAGCTACATCGTTATACTAACTATATTACTAGTGCTTTGTAACTAGTAGCTACTATCTACACTAACTATATACTAGCGTTTGTAGCAGATATAGCTACATCTATACTAACTATATACTAGTGTTCTTGTAACAGATAGCCATACATCTATACTAACTATATACTAGCAGTTTGTTAACAAGATATAGCCTACACTATACTAACTATATTACTAGCGTTTGTAACAAGATAGCCTACACCTATTTACTAACTCGCCATATACTAAGCCCGTTCTGCTTACAAGATATAGCTACAAACCATATCACTAACCTATATCTAGCGTTTGTACAAGATATAGCTACACCATATTTACTAACTATATACTAGGTTTGTAACAGATAGCTACATCTATACTAACTATATACTACGTTGTTTGCTAACAGATAGCACATCTTTACTAACATATACTAGCGTTTGTAACAAGATATAGCTACCACCATACTAACTATATACCTAGCGTTTGTAACCTCAAGATAGCTACACCTAACCTAACTATATACTAGCGTTGTCTAACAAGAATATAGCCTACACCTATACTAACTATATACTAGCGTTTGTAACAAGATATAGGCTACATCTATAATAACTATATACTAGTTGTTTGTAACAATCATAGCCTACATCGTATTACTAACTATATTACTAGCGTTTTGCCTAACAAGATTATAGCTACACCTATACTAACTAATATAACTAGCGTTTGGTAGCTAGATAAGTACATCCTATTACTACACTATATACTAGTGCTTCTGTAACTAGATAGCTACATCTATACTAACTATATAGCGTAGTGTTGTAACTAGTGATATAGCTACATAATATACTAACTATATACTTAGCGTTTGTAGCAAGATAATAGCCTACATCTATCACTAACTACATACTAGCGCTTCTGCTAGCTAGAATAGCTACATCTATACTAACTATATACTAGCGTTATGAACTTAGAATAGCTACAATCTATACTAACTATATACTTAGTGTTGCTAACTAGATATAGTACATCCATACTTAACTGCATTACTTTAGCGTTTGTAGCTAGATAGCTACATTCGTTATACTAACTATATTCACTAGCGTTGTAACTAGATATAGCTCACATCTAATACTAACTGCATACTAGCGTTGTAGCTAGATAGTAATCTATACTAACTATATTACTAGCGTTTCTGTTAGCTTAAGATATTAGCCTACATCTACACTAACTATATACATAGCGTTTGCTAGCAAGATATAGCTCATCTATACTAACTATATATTCTCTAGCGTTTGTAGCTAGCATATAGCTACATCTACTTACTAACTATATACTAGCTTTTTGTAGCACGATATAGCTACATCTATTACTAACTATATCTAGCGTTTGTAGCTAGATATAAGCTACATCTATACTAACTATATACTAGCGTTTGGTAGCAAGATATAGCTACATCTATACTAACATATACTGAGTGTTTAGCTAACTAGATATAGCTACATACTTATACTAACTATATACTAGCGTTTGTAGCTAGATATAGTACATCATATACTAACTATATACTAGCGTTTGTAGCCTAGCATATAGCTACATCCTATACTAACTAATCAGCAGCAGCAGCACTACCACCACCAGCAGCACCACCACCAGCAGCAGCACCACCACCACCACCACCACCACCACCAGCAGCCGCAGCAGCAGCAGTAGTGTGTTTAAACAAATGATTCGTTTTGTTATGTTATTCGCTCTCGATAGCACGCGATGACGTCAGCGTCTTCTGTATGACAATGCACAAGACGTCGGTACGAATACCGTCATCGTCTCTGGTCTCCGTACGCAGCCGGCTGAAAGGGGTGATAGGATATGTTTACTAGGCACTTCTAATTTTAACATATATTTTAAATTTAATTAGGGTTAGGGTTAGGGTTAGGATTAGGGCACTTTTTAGGGTTTTTGCATCATTCTTTAATATATCGTAAAATATATGTTAAAATTAGAAGTGCCTAGTAAACATATCCTATCACCCCTTTCAGCCGGCTGCTCTCCGTACACGCCGCTACTGGCGCCCCCTACCTTTGCGGACGAGCGGTGGTGCGGCAGCATCTCGCAGTCCCGTCTCCGTGAGGAACTCCCAGTTCGTGAGCGGATTGGTGCGCATACGATCAAAGCCTGTCTCGTTGACGATGGTCGCCACCTGTTCGTCGCTCAGCTGTTTGTCTAGAAAGTCTGCGATGCGACGCACGCCCCCTGCCAGGTCCTGCGAGCGATCAGACACGTACGGTGTGCGCATGACGGGCAGAGAGCAGCGAGGCGGCGAGGAGGAGGGAGGAAGGGAGAGGACGGGGAGGAGGAGGGAGGAAGGGAGAGGATGGTGAGGAGGAGGGAGGAAGGGAGAGGACGGGGAGGAGGAGGGAGGAAGGGAGAGGACGGGGAGGAGGAGGGAGGAAGGGAGAGAGAGGGAGAGGACGGTGAAGAAGAAGAGGAACATGGAGATAAAGAGGTCGAGCAGGGAGAAGAAAACTCGTAAAAGATGCATGTAATAATGTAATTCAATGTACAACATAGACATTAACCTGACCTCAACTAGATCTTCGTAGAAGAGAAATAGAACGTGGCCGCTGTTTCTCTGCTCCCAATATTCCAGATTGTGCTCAAAATAGTTGCCAAATACCACTGCGAACAGGAAAAACCATATAAATATATATTCGCATCTATTTACTTCTTATTTCTTCACGAACGCACGTGCACGAACGCGTACATTTTCATAGAAATACAGCAGCAGTTGGTAAAACATTGGTAACTTGTAATTAGTTAATTAGTAACACAGTAGACTTACTAGTAATTTACACAATAATTAGTGACAGTACTAATTACTACCAATTAGTAATACAGCGATAAGACAGCGGACGTTCGACAGAGTTATGAGTCACCTTGGTCGCCTGCCATTCTTTCCATGTACTGTCGCATAGTCCACGCATGCACGTTTTCCATGCCAGTGACTCCCTCCACACCTGACGCCACTACCCTCATTTTCATGTCCTTGAACATGAAGTAAGCGGACACGACGACGTCCTTTATATTGCGGCTCACGTAGATAATCTGCATGCAAAATAACAGGTCAGAGGTCAGAGGTCAGAGTGAGCCTACGAGCATAATACGTCACGCGCTACGCTGCCTACAGATGTGATAGTGCGTTATTTTTTCTCTTAATAATATCATTTTTATCTTAATAACACAATCTACGACTGATATATGTAGAGTTGATATTGCAGTTGATGTGTGTTGCACTAAATCGTATTTTAGCGAGTGCGAGAGGTTCACTCGTGTTGAACAGACAAGGATCGATGTCCACGTTTACGTCGCACGCGTTGGTAGTAATTCCGCCTGGAAACCGCTGGCAGTAGATTCAAGATTCAAGATTCAAAGTAGAGATGTTCTTTACTTGTTTGTTTGTTTCATCAACGCCCTCCGTCAGAAGACACCTTCTCCCGTAAATAGCCAGCTATTGTCATCATGTCACCCACTAACGCCGCACCGCCCGCACGGCTACGGACGGTGTTCGGGGGAAGGAGAGGGGGGGGGGGGGGGGGGGGGGGGGGGGGGGGGGGGGGCGTTCACGCTGGCTACCATCACTTCTTCTTCTGCTCCTCTGGCGGGATGCGTTTCTCGCATGGATGTGCGTTTTGATGAGGTGTCGTGCGACATGGCCATCTCGTCTCGCGCACATACTCGTTCGCCCGGCCAACTTGCACGGTAGAGCCACACACACACGGCCATTAAGACTGCTGATTGTGAGCGCTGTGGAAGCGTGAATCCTGGCTTGTGGCCCCTTGATGGCCAAGATATAGCAGAGTCATTCCTTTGGTCGGATAAGTTGTGGGAACTATTCTAGTGTGATGTTCAACCACTCAACTGGACTAATTCTGATGAGGCGTAATGTGGCACATGTCTCGCACGGGCGTGAGCGCACGCGATACACGTACCAATGCACGCACACGCATGCACGGCAACACCAGCACACACTACACACCACTGGCGCAGCATAGACTTGCACGCACACAGCACAGCACGGCGCGCGCGCGAGCGACGAATACACGCCGACGCACAGCACACATACACACACGCACGCACGCACGCACGCGACTAAGACCCGCCGACCACACAGCACGACACACACATGCATACTACCACAACACTCACACACTCCACAAACGCACGCCGGCACGCACACACGCACTCATATATACTATAGCCACCTGTAAGCGATCTCAGGCATGCGTTTCATCAAACTTTGCTTACCTGTACTCGAATTCGGGTCTGCATGCGTGTAGTAACGAGCCAAGGTATCTCGGCTGCGCGAACGTAGTTCCTTTGGTCGCCGAGGTCAAAGTTAATGCTGAACGATGCCCTACGGCGGTCGCGGTGGGGAATAACACCGTGTAGAATTTACACACAAGCTAACTACTCAGTACTGTCCGGCGCTTCTCTAATGCCGTATAGCAATGCCTAGTAAGCGAGTCTATGCGACAAGGGAAAATCAATATATATATTATTTATTTTACATATCAGCCCTTCTTTACCTGCGCTTTTTTTCTCAGCCCGGTCTGAACGGAGCGTGCCACGTGCGCAGTGTTCTAACACAACAAGCAAACACACAACAAATACTAACAACAGGCGACAACAAACAGCTACTAATAAAGCCCACAACCACCAACACACAACAACTACTACATACACACAACACTACTACAATCAACACAGGGCGCGCTTCTACTAACCTGCTACTACTACTACAAACAACAAACTATATACTACAGCAGCACAACAACAACTACTACTACAACTACTATAAACACTCATCAGGCAACCCACAACACCGCGACAACTACTACTACAACGTACTATACCCACACTCAACAGCAAAACGGCTACAACAACAACTACTTAGCTAGAACAACAGCAACACACACAACAACTTACTTACTACAACATACAACAACTACTAGCTGCCAACATACAAGCAACTCAATACTGCAAACAAACTACACCCAGCAACAGACAGCAACATGCTCTCTCAAA